TAATACGTCAGTTTTGATGTGATTTTGAAATGTTGTAAATAAAACTGTGTACATTTTCATTTTATGTTTTGAGATGCTAAAAATCAGAAATGGCTATGTGGTGTTTTTTGGAAAAGAAAGTTTTTGTATGTTAATGCTAAAAATCATTAAGCTCTGAAACTAACAGTAAAATACAGTCAAATTAGTGTTATTTTAGTATCACTGAGATACTATTATAGTTTTTATTAATATTTACATTTTTATATTTTCCATTTTCATTTTAAGTTAAAGTTTTATTCATCAAGGTTGCACAGATGTTTCTACGTCATTTCGAAGAAAAGTGTTTCCTAAATGAATATAAATGTATATTTATACATATATCCTTATCCTTACAAAATATTGCAGAGAATACAGTGACACTCCTGTGATACTTTGTTCAAAAAACATGGTAATATCACAGCTCTTTTTGTCTGTGTAATGCACGTTAAATAGCAGACAGGGACGGACAGACAATGATTTCTGCAGACTGTGTTTGTTTCCGGGGTAAGAAAATGACTAGTTTGTTTTTAAAGAACAGACTTTCCAGTAATGACTCAACACCCGTTCCTCTTTGTGAGTCTATGAATAACAACCTCCTAAATAGTGTTTTTCCAGCGATACTTCAATGGCCAGACATGTTTTTTAGAGGATTGTGGTTGGTAACACAGAGTGGTGGGACCTTCATGATTGCGGATGGGTGGCTGTACTATAATCTGTCAGCATTCCCTCAAATAAAGCATATATTAGTGGTATAAATTCATCATAGTCTGTAAAACAAAACCTCCTTCTTTAAAAATAAAATCTGTTGGCTGCATAGCCAGCGCTTCAAACATTTTTATGCAACACTAGCCCCGTGGATTAGATTTTTAGGGGTATTTTTACCTTTGTGAGGGCTTATTTCTTTTCTAAACACATGAAACAAATCCAATACCACAACTGAATGGATTAATAGAAATACATTCTCAATCTGAATCACTATAACAGTTGTTTTCCACATTCAACTACACATTCATCAACAACACTCGCCTCTGAAACTGTAGACAAAATAAAAGTTATCTTAGAAATGAGCAACCAGCCGCAAAGCATTTTTAAGTTCACTAAACTTTGGTACTTGTGCCTGCCTACTATTTTTTTCAGTTTATAAAAAGTTCACTCAAACTACCTTTTTGAGGTCAACAAGTTCACCTGCTGCGTAAGCGGTCGACTGAATTACCAGTTCACTTTTAGAAATGAGTTTTACTAAATTCAGGTTAAAGTAAATGAAAAAAATGTTAGTTTGGCAACTAGCAGAAACTAGCAGAAATAAAGATTTTAAAATTTCTTTGTTAAATAAAAACAATATTTTTGTTTTTTTATTTGTTTTAAGTGTTGCATTTTGTTTAGAGTCATCAATGCAGTATTTACTTTTGGTTATGTTTCTTCAATTCTCTGAATATATTGAATATAATAATTGCTTCATAAATTAGTACATATTTGAACTCTTACATTGTGAGGGTCATACATGCATCAGGATGAAAGATCTTAATATAAGACTTAAATCTGACTTTTAAAAAAAAAACTAAAATACGGAAATGAAAACAAAGTATAAAATATTTTTGTTAAATAAAAACAAAGCTAAAATATTAATAAAAGCTATAATAGTATCTCAATTGTACTAAAATAATACTGGTTTAATCTGTTTATAGCTCTGCAAAAGCAATCTCAAACTCTCCGCTTCACAGAATCTGATCTCATGTTGTCAACAGAACATCCAAGGTAAATATTATTAAATATTATTGTGACTTTGATAATTCATATATGCATTCCATATTAAATATAAAAATATTACTCCTTAAAACATCAAGGGAAGACTAGTTGTGATAACGTTACTAGTATAAGTTATTCTGCAAGAGCAAGTTTTTGTGAATACAGAATAATCTGAGAGTCACTGCAGTGTCTGCAGAAGCACTCAAGAGACCCAGAACTGATTGCTAGGAAATCATTAGAGGTACATTTGTGCTCATTGCAGATTAAATATTTACACACTCCCACAGCAACAACACATCTGAAGCTAAGACTGACCTCTGTTGGTAGATGTGTTACATTACAAGTGTCCATTATGTGGTATTATGGCTAAAACCTTTTACAATACTACATCTATCTATCTATCTATCTATCTATCTATCTATCTATCTATCTATCTATCTATCCATCCATCCATCCATCCATCCATCTGTCTGTCTATCCAAATCTTTATCATTATATAATCCACTATCCAACTGCATAGCAATCTTTTTGCAGCCATCCAGAATATCAGTATTTTTCTAGAATACTGTACGGCCCATCCATCCATCCATCCATCCATCCATCCGTCTGTCTATCCAAATCTTTATCATTATATAATCCACTATCCAACTGCATAGCAATCTTTTTGCAGCCATCCAGAATATCAGTATTTTTCTAGAATACTGTACGGCCTTCAAAACCTTTGAACTACTTCAAACTGAAAACCTTCAAACGTACAACATCAAGCTTTTTAAACTACTAGAAATGTTCAGGCTTTCTCAAGCCAATACCAAAGTTTGTCTTGACAAACTTTTTTTATCTAGTTATATAATATGAGCTCATAAAAACTGCATGTATAAATAAATACAGATGATAAAAATGTCACACTGCTTGACTGCCCAATTTGCGTCATTTTCAGTATTATATGTTCTATTAGTATTATGTGAAATATATAACCCTTGATAACGAACCAAGCCAATTAATTCCAGCACCACACCAGAGTTTTGGCCAACATACTTTATGTTTGCATTACACTGAAGGCTTCATCTGTCTCCCTTCAGTGTGTTAACAGTGTTTGTGTCTCCAACTAGGGAAGAAAAACTCTTGAGTATAAACAGATTCAGCCTCAGCAGCGGCTCAAAGGCTCTGGAGGAATGAGGCTGTAAAGACTGAGCTGTTCTCTGTCTCTTGCTGAACGCTCCTTCTGCAAGAACAGGAAGACTGAGGTGAGGAGAAAGCCAGGAATATCAGTCCACCAGAAAATACAGAAAACATAGAAAAACAGACAAAGTAAGGTAAGCAAAGACGATATATTATTTATGATTCAAAGTTTGTGCAATTTTTTAAACAATAAATTCAAGTTAAAGTTCCCCAAATTGGAGATCATGAGGTAATGAAAAGCTTGATTAAATCAGAAAAAATTTCAAATTAAAACAAATAATTTCAAAGTATAAACAATCAAAATAAAACAGTTAATAAAAATATTGTAATTAATATTTTAAATAATATAAAATAATATTTGTTTACCTGTAAGTCATAGGACGATTAACCAACATCAGGGAATCATGAACATGTATATGTGTTGTTTAATAATTGAAATATTAACTTTTACCTCAGAGGGACTTCAAGAAAGTATTTTAGATCAAAGTGGTTTGGATGACAAAACAAATCCCTGCAATAACATTATTGTGTTATCCCTGACACATTATAAAGTGTAACTTAAGAGTAATTTTTTCTTTTCTTTTTTTAAGTATGTTTAGATTAGACCCCAAATGTAAACAAATATACATCAGAAACCAAAGTTCTAAAACAGCAGTTCCCAAATTTAAATTATTATAATTTTAATAGATTTCCATTTCGATATTTACACTTAAGAATCTAAATGCTTTTTGGAGTCACTCTGGAATAGATTAGACACCAATTTTCTGATTTCAGTTCAGAAAATACGTTTATTTTTATATTCTCTGTTTTCGTTTTAATTTAAAATGTTTAAAACATTTTCTAATTCCTATTGATTTTTATTGATTTTTTTTTTTTCATTTTCATTTCAGTTTCAATTATTTTGTACAAGTTAAACCACATTAAAATGATAATCTAGCTGAAATAAAATAAGGTTTGTAATATTTTACTTTAATAGTTTACTTTATTTCAAGCCACTGACGTTTTTTTTTTATGGTTTTAGTTTTATTTAACTATTATAACCCTGGTTCAGAACTACACAGATGGCACCGATAAACTAATAATTAAACTAATAAAGTTTTAAAACAGCAGGGTAACACTTTACTTGAAGGGGTGTGCATAAGACTGACATGACACCTTCATAATCATGACATGACACATGTCATGAATATGAAGGAGGTTTTATGCATGTTTATGACAACTGTCATTAAGTGTCATTCGCTCAGTTATGCAATTTTTAATGCAAAGATGACATTGTCTGAGATGTCTGTTATGGGCTATGGTTAGGGGTAGGGTTAGGTTAGGGTTAGGTCAAATAATGTCATATTTGCATTAAAAATGACATAACTGAGCGAATGACACTTAATGACAGTTGTCATAAACATGCATAAAAAACCTTCATATTCATGACATGTGTCATGTCATGATTATGAAGGTGTCATGTCAGTCTTATGCACACCCCTTCACGTAAAGTGTTACCACAAAAACAATAACAGTATATCAATGACAGGGGTGTGCATAAGACTGACATGGCACCTTCATAATCATGACATGACACATGTCATGAATATGAAGGAGGTTTTATGCATGTTTATGACAACTGTCATTAAGTGTCATTCGCTCAGTTATGTCATTTTTAATGCAAATATGACATTATTTGACCTAACCCTAACCTAACCCTACCCCTACCCTTACCCCTAACCATAGCCCATAACAAAGACATCTCAAACAATGTCATCTTTGCATTAAAAATTACATAACTGAGCGAATGACACTTAATGACAGTTGTCATAAACATGCATAAAAAACCTTCATATTCATGACGTGTCATGTCATGATTATGTAGGTGTCATGTCATGATTATGAAGGTGTCATGTCAGTCTTATGCACACCCCTTCAAGTAAAGTGTAACCAACAGCAGTTCCCAAATTTAAACAATTATAATATTAACAAATTTCAACTGAAGTAAACCAATTGAGAAGACTGCAATACGTTCATGATGTTCTAGCTGATCTCCAGCAGCTCTTTTATCTTCTAGAATGCAGTCAGAGCTTGTGTCATTGGCGACGCTTCAGCCTCCAAATGCATCCGTCACTCCAGCATACCTGGATTTTTTCAACACAACAGAGTGGGAACTAGTCTACTCCATCATTCCACCGTACATCTTCACCGTGTGCTTGACAGGAATTCTGGGAAATTCTGTCGTATTGCTAGTGTTCCTGCTCCAGGGAAGCCGCTGGTCCGTGCCTGAGATCTACCTCGGCAATCTGGCGCTGGCTGACCTCATCCTACTAGTCTGTCTGCCGTTTTGGGCCATGAACATTCTGAACTATTTCATGTGGTCTTACGGAGAGATCATGTGCAAGGTGGTCAACCTCTCCATCAACGTCAACATGTACACCAGCATCTACATGCTAGTGATGGTGAACGTGGACCGCTACCTCGCGCTTGCCTTGACCATGAAGGCCATGTGGCTGCGACGGAAACGCTACGCCAAGTTCATTTGTGTCGTTCTTTGGCTGTTTGGTGTGGGAATGGGAGCTCCGACAGCTGTCATGCGAAAACTGAAAGATATTCCAGGTCACCGAGCCGTCGAATGCCATCTGGATTATCCTGACACGACTTGGAGACTCGCTCATCTTCTGCAGCTGAACCTGGTGGGCTTCGCTCTGCCGTTCCTGATCATCACGTTCTGCTGCATCAATATCATCCGGGCTTTGAAGCGACGGAGACACATCAGTTATTGGGAGGACAGAAACGACAAGAAGGCTACGGCCCTGGTGTGCGCCGTCACCCTGCTCTTCCTCATCTGCTGGGGTCCGTTTCACTTCGTGACTTTGCTAGACTTACTCTGTGATCTAAAGGTTTTGGATGAGAATGAGTGGTCTCACTTTCTAAACATCGGAAGCCAGTTTTCTGTGTACCTTGCGTTCTCAAACAGCTGCCTGAATCCGCTGCTGTATGTTTGCTCGGGAAACTATTTCAAGAGGAAAGTCAGCAGCATCTATAACAGAAGAAAACGCTCCTCGGATGTGACTGCGCTTCAGCGGACGGTTCTAACCTCTACGACAACCAGCAATCAAATCAAGCCTGTTGTGTTATATGAGAAAGACTAGAGTAAGATATGTTTACAATGTTCTAGTATTCTATTTCTAGTATTGATGCAATTATGATGGTTTTAATCAAACACATTTTCATAAAAATTTCTCAATTTCTTTCAATAATTTCATAAATAAAAATTAATTTGAACCTGATTATCTTAATAAATTTGTTTGATTAAATACATGAATTAATGAACTGATTGATTGATTGATTGATTGATTATAGAATATATGTGACCCTTGCTGGCAAAATTAGTCTGAATATGCATGGGAATATGCATAGTAATTAAACATCTAAAATGATCTTTATTTGTATGTTTTCTGAGAGGTGAACCTTTTTCTTTTCCAATGCTTGACAACTGGTGCTTCCCCTCAGCACAAGTTTGGTATAGTTTGTGAATATTCATAGCGAATTCTCGATGGCATGAGTCTGAAGCAGTGAAATTTGATTTTCTAACCCATGCTGATGTAAATAAAACGATCACGCTGACTGACACATCCAAAGCGTGTGAATAAAGATGCGTCTCTCAGACAGCGCGCGATCCCGATATACGCAGATCACGGTATTTTAAAATATCTGTCTTGGCTGATTAATAATCTGTTACGTCTTCAGTGAACATTTTGTGAACTTTTGGGGGAAAACTTCTGATGTGTAATAGTATATTAGATCCGTGCATTACAGTAGGTCTTAAAATATAGGCTGTCTGTCTCAATGTTAATCTAACAATAAAAGAGGGAAGTAACTCCCGGACCCCGAGGGCTATCGACGTGGGGGTGGTCTCATTCGAAAGGGGGCCTCGAGACGTACACTCGGTTCGGCGTTCGAGATGGTTCCTCGAGCTGAAGGGATCCCCCGAATTTGGTGCGGATCCGCCACGCCATTACGGAGATATTGCCGTTCAAAGTTTCAATGGTATTCCATACGCTTAAGCTTTAAAGCATTTCATCCAGGTCGCCAGTAGCAGACAATGGAGCGCACTCTGCTGGACAAACTACGTAATCACACCATTTACAAGCATTTTATCTACGTTTTGTGTTCTGTAAAAAAAAAATGTGCATATTCGCTGATACCGATATATCTGCAACAGGCTCATATCGGCCGATAAAATCGGCAAAACGATATTTCGGTCGGGCTCTAATAGTAATTATTATTAAGAAAAAACTGAAGGAAAAGATGCAACATTGCTAGGTGATTTTGCTTTGGGAATTTCCAAAAACTTTAATTTGTTTTCTCAAAACAAATCATACATCATCATTTTGAAGGTTTTTTAATGGAGATTGTGGAGGAAAAAAAAACAGCTAATTTTTGAAAATTTGCTCATTGCTACTCATTTTGCAGCACAGATCACATATTACAGAACAATGACATTATATGCATTAAGTACTTTTCAAATAAATAAATAAATATATAAATAAATAAATCCCTGATACTTCAAGGTTATTATTTTTTTTTATCTGATTAACTCTACGTGTAGGGAAAATAAATCAATCAATAAATTTATAGCAAGATTTTACAAAATTGCATGATTTTTCTAGACATAATTAAAAAAAAGAATAATAATAACAACAACACTCATCATCATCATCATCATCATCATCATACTTTTAAAATCTGAATTATGGCAGGCTACATAATTAATTCTGAAGGAAAACAATGTGTTTTTATAATAACGCAAGAATATCCCAATGTGAGCATTGAGCACCAAAACAGCCAGACACAAGAACAGCTTTTTCACCCAGGACATCTTCCACCTAAACAATAGCCTACATAACACATCTCAGGACTGTGCATCTGGAAACAACTTATCAAACCTTTTCATCTGTAAATAGCACATATGCACACTCATAATTCTGTCTATTGCTATTTTTCCTCTATATTTTATTACCATGTTGTTATTTTTATTTATTGTTTATTTTCTTTATTATTAGAGTTTTATTTCATTTTATTACCTTAAAGTATATGTATGTCTGCACTTTGTCTGTACTTTCTGCACTGGAAGCTCCTGACACTTGGCAATAAAGCTCTTTGTGATTCTGAGTCTGAAGTATATGCACAGTAACATACTATCATAACCAAATGCACAATAACATATTTTGGCTCATTCTGGCTTTAATTTAGCCAAAATTATTGTTAAATGCTGTTCTGGACACTATAGCTCCGTTCCTAAACCTGTGTATTGCCTACATAGACAACGTTATACTCCGGTGTCTTTCACACAGGACGCCGCCATGTCATGGAGACGCTGTGTGTTTCGTTGTGAAAGCGAAACTACTTTGTTTGGCCTTCCAAAAGAGGACGATATCTGCTTCGTCATGCCTAGAGCTGATCCGTGCTGGGCGCTGAGGAAATACATCAACTTCGTGCTGTGGATCGCCGGATCGGCTTTCACCGATGAGCTTTGTAAAAATCGACGCGTTTCAGAAAGGCGGGGCATAGAGGAGAAACAATAATGTACAGTATGTGGAAAATAATGTGTTTTTTTTAACCTTAAACCGCATAAACACATTTCATTACACCAAATACACAAAATAATGTTCTTTTTAGCAACATCATATGACCCCTTTAAAACATAGCATTTACATTCAACCAGCCGTGCTGGCGAATGAATGTCATTAATTAATTAATTATTAATTAATTAATAGGGGCTGCAAATCTGTATTACAATGAGTCATCAAATTGAGTTATTAGAATGAAACTTTGTCAAATAAAACGTGTTAACCTATTTCAAAAAGCAGGCACTGAAATTGTAATTTCAATTATTTTTGCACTTCATAATGTTGTGTTTCTATGTTTATTATTATACCTTGCTGCTAACTTGTAAACATGCAAATACTCAACTACGGATAAGCAAATTCTCCTCTACTAAACCACACATACCTGTGCCATCATCTCCCATCAATCCCATGAACCCACCAGGACATTTATTAGGAACTGCACCGTATCATACAGGGTTTAAATTGCAGTAGTCTGATCTTCAGAAGTACAGTATGTACTTTCTCCACCACCAGAACACAATTCTAGTGTACTACAAATACAAGAACTGGGATGCAGCCAGGATGTAATACTTCACTTCAGAAATGACATATACAGTCAGGCAATTTTCCATGCAATTCTTCACATAAACCACTCTCATTTCACAAAGTACATCACATGTAAGATGCTTCAGTTATCTCTGTTAATCCAGATGTGTAAACTTTCCATACGTACGGTATGATAACACTTCTGCATCTGCAGTTCATCAGTCTAAAAGGAATTTGTGCAGAAAGGTTTTATGTCATGAGCTGGTGAGACAGAAGAACAGGTTAGAGAAATGTTTAAACAACCGTCCAGATAAAATACTGCTGAAAAGTGTCAAATACTAAAACTGTAATTGAAATCTGATCAGCAGTTTTTTAATTGGTTAGTCTAATAAATCTAAAGCAAATGAGAATTAAAGGGCTTATTTAATACAATGTGTTGTAGGACGTGAAGTATTTATATGGAATACAGATGGTCTTAAATGTTTACCATTAATAAGACCATCTGTATTCCATATAAATGGAATACTGTATTCATGACAAATACTTGTAAGACAACTCAGGCCATTTTATGTTTGCAACTAAAATAAGCAAATTAATCTTTTCCATTTATGACAAAACTTAAGAGTTTAGATTAGAGATGAACATTTATTAAATATTGAATAAAAAAATAAAAAAAATAATTAAATAAATGGAAGTGATTGCAAATGTATTAATAATCCTAATCAATTAATTAATAAATTAATTAAATGGAAGTGATCCCAAATAAATGGATTTGATTAGGCATTAAAAAGAAAACTTTAGACATAGATAGATAGATAGATAGATAGATAGATAGATAGATAGACAGATAGATAGAGTTATCACAAATGTATGGTAAGTAATCCTATTAAATAAATAAGAAAATACATACATGAATGGTAACTGATCCCAAATGTATGTATGGTGATCGTATTTATTAAATAAATGAATATATAAATTTGATCCTGGATGCTGTCATACTGTCCTAGTTCTTTTTAAAACATGATTTGCATGCCTTGTTTTTCCGTGAAGGCAACGCCTACTCACAGTATAGTACTAATTCACTGGAAGTACCTGAGAACGACATTCACCTTCTTTAGAAAAATGATACTTTAGCATCTACCATGGACCAGAACGCTTCTGTAAACGGGACTCTGGAATCTGGGATCTGCCTACATGGAAACGCAGTGGAGCGGTACATGTACCCGACGGCTTACTCGCTGTTCTTCATCATTGGATTTCCAGCAAACTGTCTGTCCCTGTACGTGGCCTGGGTTCTGATGAAGAAGGGCAATAATTTGGCGGTTTATCTGATTAATTTGTCAGTCGGAGATCTGCTGTATATCCTAACTCTACCCATTTGGATCGTGATGGCACTCGGCTATGCGCTGAACGACAGTCTGTGCAGCATTATAGCGGTGGTCATGTTCAACAGCTTCTACGTGGGTTCAGGCTTTCTGTGCTGCATCTCTGTGGACCGATATTTAGCCATCGTGTTTCCGCTGCATTTCGCACGTGTGCGAGAGGTCAGAACCACCGTGTTGGTGAGCATCATCGTATGGCTGGTAGAGATCGTGCTTCATGTGGGTCTTCTAACCTACACAGAGGCGATCGGGAACTTTTCTGGCAGTCGTATGTGCGAGGAGCCGATGATAATGAGTGCCGCCGCCGCAAACGTGGCCATCACACGTACGGTCCTGGGATTTCTGGTTCCTGTGCTCATTATGATCTTCTGCTTCGAGGAGATCATCAGGGCGCTGAAGAAAAGCACCTCTACTGTGGTCAGCGAACGGAGAAAGATCTGCCGCCTTCTCTTCTCTCTCCTTTTCACCTACTTGTTGGCTTTTACGCCCTTCCAGGTGGTGATGTTCATCAGAGGACTGCTGGAGCCTGGAAACTGCAGCGTCGCGCACAATCTCAGGGACGTTTACATGGTTTTTGTGGCCACAACGACAATAAACAGCGTTTTAGACCCC